TTTGCAAAAAAATTTGCTCTTGAAAAAATGCACTCAAAAAAATCAAGTTGACATCAAGCGATGATTAGCTGGCCCTGAAACAGAGATTCTGGGTTCATCCAGTTCTCGTGAGAGGGCAGCATCAGGGAGAATTTCAGGGTTTGGTCCAAGAGTTCAGGCTGTATCACGATAGCTTTCATGGGTGAGTCTGAAAAATATCTTTAACACACAAAATATTCACACCATTTTTACACATCTGGTGTGTAAAAGCCTTTAGCCTAACTGTTCCCTCTTTTATTTACTATTTATGGTCAGTTGAGGTAAGCAAACTGGATGCTGGTTGTAGCGTCATATATGCTGTAAGCATATTAAATTACCCAGAATATTGCAAATAAGTATATCTCAATAAGATGAACTATACAGGAGACTACAGACTCAGGACACCGGGGTGTGATTTTGACTCAGTCTACTTCTGATATTTGCTAAAACTGATATTTTCCTGTGTCTATTCCAAGTGCAGATCATGAATTGCACAGAGGACATACATTGGCAGGACCGCTTAGCTGTAAAACACTTTTCATAGTTAATTCAGAATTATGAACTTGAAGCAACCAGACTGAGAGTAGGTACCACGCACAGGATGACCTAATGTTTCTGTCTGCTTTGTATTTGACCTGCAGGTGAGGAAACCTACAGCTGTGACCAGAAAGCCATATGAAGGCAAAGTCATTTCTGTCTGAACACATACCTGGGAACTTAAAGGGCACCTTAAATCTCAAACAGTGCAACCCAGAAGCTACCCATTGCACAAACAACAAGTGTTTTCTCAAAGACAACCTTCATTGGAGTAGCTTTTTGCATTTCAAGCATATGAGGGTTATAACATGTTGAATTTCTGCCTGAGTCAATGCTCCGCTGGAAGAGGAAACTGAGTCACATACAGCTGTATCTGCAGCCAGCTCTGTCCAGTACACAGATCACAAAAACCAACTCTGCTGCTGCAAACTATACATTTATTACTAAAACCATTATGTAATAACGCAACTCACCATAAGAAATGCAAATCGGGTTTATGCATGAGTTCCTGGTTAGTAAATGAAAAGTCTCTAAATAGAAAAAAACAAACAATTTCACTGTATATTGTGTTCTGTGCTCTAAAACAATAGTAAATCAGCATTTATAGTTGTGTGTAATTATGCCTGAGTTTTCTTCTTCACAGCATGTTTTTGCATTTTTTACCCCCATCTTCTAAAATCCCAGTTGCCACTGGTAACAGAACTGTCTCTCACCTAAAAGCATCCTTTCCCTTTGATGAAATATTCATTAAAATACACTGACATGCATGCAGTAATAAGATTTACTCCGCTGACCCAGACGGACTCTGTGTTTGCATATTCAGCAGGCTCACACATCATTATACACTCCATCTATGCCCATGTATGGACTGCATTCATTCCTTCTCGTGGTAAAAAAGGTCTGCGGCTGTCATCGAGCATCATGTGGCAGCTTCCCATTGGGGCGGGCATGCTGGCATGTTATTATGCCACAGGGCCAGTTGAGACATAGTGTGAGCTTATCAGGTTGCCACACGGGTCAGTGGTAGTGTGTGAGTCACAGAATGCCTACTCATCCTCAAGCAAGAATGCTTCTTTCCTCTTTTCTTAAACGGTGCAAAGGATGGTTGGGGGATGGTGGGGTATTGTACAGTGAATGGTGAGCCTATTTAAAATGGTGACCTGGCTATAACTTGAGTTTTCAAGCTTTAAACACAGAGGAAATGATTCATACTAAATATTTACACTTTAACTAGTGTAACCCAAAGTATTTTTTAAGTGATCACAGTATTTCTAAGAATCAGGTTTTGCCAAACATGGTGATATCAATTAGTCTTGCTAACTGTAACAGCAATGAAAATGTTTAACCTGCAGTTGAAGAGGTATACTTAACTAACCAAAGTATGGAAGTAACTCAAAGTATCTATTATTCTAGTATTCTGAACTTCAAGCTGAGCATCAGAATAATGAAGAAAGACCTTTCAAATGACTTACTCAAATAACCACTCGTTACAACCAAATGGCTATTGGTTGGATAACAGTGTAACACCATTCTTATGGCTGGTTCCAGCCTGATATGTGCCATGTCACAAGGCTGGAACAATCTCAACCTGGTGTCTTGAAAATGACAGTGAGTTCACTGTACATAAATGGCCTGCATAGTCACCAAATCCCAGGCCAAAAGAGCACCTTTGGAATGTGGTGGAACCAAAGCTTTGCGTCACTGATGTGCAGCTGACAAATCTTAAGCAACGGCAAGATCCTGTCATGTTAATATGGAGCAAAATCTCTGTGGAATGTTTCCAGCACTTTGTTGAGTCTGTGCCGTGAGGAATGAAGGCATTTCTAAAGGTAAAAGGGCATCTTTGCAATGTATACCTAATGTAGTGGCCGCTAAGCATATGTTCTCACTTTGCCAGGAATTATATATTAAGTAAATATATTAATCATGACTTTCCTCAATTCTACAAGGCTGAGCCAGTGGTGACGCCTCTCCAACTGCAGCTGAGTGATATGATTTGAGCATACTACTATGTAGTGTGTGTGTACCACTAAGTATTTAAGTACGCAGAATGATAGTAAATATACTGAGCATGTAGTGTATAGTATAGGATTTCTACTACTTAAAACATCTGTCATAAGCTGTTAAATAAAGGAAGTTTTTTTTGCAAATATTAATGCATAATGAACAAACACAGCCTAAGGGATTTCTCAAAACTGTGTATATACCAATAAGACAGTAATAAACTAATAGTATTTACCTGGGCTACACTACCCTGAGGAATACACATTAATAGCAGTTTTGACCTTTCCCTATTCACACATCACTGCATTTCTCACCTGTCACAGTCTGCATTATGAAGTCAGTAGGCTGTGACCTGTCCCTATGCTGAGTGAAGAAACAGCACCTGCATGATGCTAATGAACGGTGACAGTGCATAAGTAGGAAGAGCACAGTGCTGCTCTCTGCACATGCAAATGACATCTGTCTTAGATTATGTAAGCAAATATCGCTGTTCTACATTCTGCACAGAGGTAAAATGCAGAAGCGAGGTTATAACTGCGGTTTCTTTATTTGATATTTTCTGTAACAAACATAATTAGGTGTTTATTCATAGCAGGAATGACTGCAACCATCACAACTGATAGTGGCAAAATGATCATAGTTTGGGGTTGATTCATAATAAAATTCTTCCTCTGTCATGTTATATAATGAACATGATGTAATAGGTAAGTAATGTATTTCCTATGGCTGAGAGCTCATTGCAGCTCTGTTGAATCAAGGTAATACCTCTTAGCTTATGGTCTTTAATTGCGCCACGGTTACCAGTAGACTGAGCTGTCACGTGATGCCATAAATAGTAGTATACTGCTCTAGTTTTCTGAATAATAATGACACAGTAGGTGGTGGATTACAGGTGAGAACTGGGGCGCAAAGAGTACATATTTATTCTGATAAATGTTAAATATAATATAAAACAATTGAAGAGAAATGTATTATGATGTATTTTGAAATAACATACATTGAAAGTTTTCTATATGAGATCGTTGCAAAATTTGCAGCCTCACCTAACGTCCACCCTACTGGCACTGATTTTATATTAGGATTTAAAAATCTAGGTGGTTTTGGTATGGCGAGTAGCCTTCAGTAATATTAATAAATCACACAGCAAAAGTACATTCATGTAGTTGTAAAAAGCATGACAATATAGTAAGTAATCAAAGTATTCAGAGTAACTTAACGGAATACGTTACAAACTACATTTTGGGGCATGTAGTCTGTAATCTGTAGTGGAAGACCCTTACCAACACTGGGGATGGTTAAAACATCGCTCTTAGATGCACCCTGGCTAGATGTAGAACAGGCACTATGCAATAATATAGAGATTTCGGACCTACCATTTATCAGCTCAAACACAAAACTACATGTATGTTTTAAAAGAGTCGACATCAGCTCTTCTCTGACAGCACGATGGGAGTTTCTTAAAATGACTGAGTCTTCATTAATCCCATGCAAATGTACACCTATCTGGAACAAAACTGACATACTACAGAAAAATAATATGATTAACCTCCCAGATTGGAGTCGTAAAGGAATTAGCGGTTTTTGATACGGGCAACACGGGCGGTTGCCCAGGGCGGCATCGTGGTGGGGGGCGGCCAGAGGGAGTGTTCGCCCAGGGCGCCAAACAGGCTAGGACCGCCACTGATTCCAGCCTTCCCTCTAGTCCGCTTGTTGGGCATCTTGGATGACGTCACTACATAGATGAATACAGCCCACATGGTTCTCACCAACGTATGCATTGCCAAGATAACTGTCTTCATGAACTGGAAAAATAAAAATAATCCTAATTCTAACCATTATAGAGACCGTCTGAAAGATCATTTTAGTCTTCCCGCCTTCATTATTGCGCTTGATGTAGGGGTAGGTACAGGCTTGGGGTGTCTGGGGATTCTTGGGGGACTCAACCTGGGGGCTGTGGTACAGAACTGAATGGGGATCTGTGGCTCTTGGGTGGTGTTTTCCTGGTGGTTGCCTGCAGCAGGGCTGGAGGAGGGTCTGTGCTGGCGGATGAAGGTTACCGACCTGGTAGTCTAGCTGAACCCTGGGTGGGTCCAGAGTGGACTTGGGGTTCTGGGCATGCTCTGCCTCCGGGCTGGGGCTCTGGCTGGGCCTTTGGGGCTTGGGTCCTGGTTGGTGTGTCACCGAGGTTGAGGGTGGGTGCATGCACGGAGGCCCAACCCTGGTGCGGGGGGCCTCTGGTGCATCGATGGAACTGGGGGCCTCTTCAGCTGGTGGGGAGGTTGTTCTTGTTCTGCTTGTTTTCTTCTTTTAACAGATGTGTAGTGTATTTTCTCACTGTCCCTCTTCCCCTCTGTTAATCTTTCCCTCTCCTTTTCTTGAACTTCTCCTGTCTGTGTCTTTCCCTTTCTTATCCCCCGGTCATGTCTGTTCTGACTGTAATAACTTAAAACTTTAAATAAATAAATAAATAAATAAAGATCAGTCAAGTGGACCAGTATGGTAAAGCCGTAATGATCCACTTGGGAAAACAAATCTGCTGGGCATTTTTCTTGGCCTTCAGACAATAATTCTAAGTGCTACAGTGCCAGACAGGACAGGGGGGGAAAAAAAAGAATAACAGAGATTTACTTTTTTATGCAGAGAATGGGCTTAAGTAGAATGGTCTCCTCTAAAAAACAAAAGGAAACTAATAATATAATTATTATAATAAATAAATATTGTTGGATCTCCACACCGCCATGGTGCAAGATACCAATACATTCTCATTGTGCCAAATAATGATGTTTTATCAAACACGGTTGAATGTCAGACATACGTGGAAGGTGCTCTTTGGTGTAGGTGCCCTGATGTAACATGTTTGCAATATACTGTAGTGTCTAACCGCACAAGGCAAAAATAGAGACTTTGGTTCAGAAGTTCTCATTGACAGACTAAAGTATAAGGCTGATATTTCTCTCCGCGAGATCCATGGACCATCCATGTTGCACCAGGACTAGCACCGCCATCACTAGAGTGTCTGTGTGGAGAAGATTTTCCTCACAGGATACTTTGTGGATCCTCTTTAGAATGAAACAGTAGCGGAAACCAGAAATATGGCTGATGAAGAAGAACAGAAAAACTACATAATTAGAGATTTGGCTTTTCTTTCTTTCTTTTTTTTGGCTTGCAATAGTTATTCTCAAGCAATATGTTAACATTCACCTTGGTAATAAGTGACCTGAGGCTGCAGTTGTTTTTCTCCTTTCTCATTTTGAATCTCTTCCTCAGGATTTTGCCGTGGAGGTACTCCACTCTCTCCTCAGCAGCAGAGGGGAAGAACTGTTCACAGACCATCAACCTTAGCTGGGAGACTTTGGTTGACATCAGAGCCATAACAAGCAGGGTGAGCAGGATGGCAGTCAGTGGAATTACAGAACTATATAGCAACAACTTGGGTTTGGGGAGGCACTGCTTCTCAAACAGAGTCACAGAGTAGGAAAAGTCTTTTTCATGATTTTCTTGTCCAAGAGACATTCCAATTAAAGTTGCAATCCCCTGCAAGGATAAACAAGTGAGTCTTTTGTGGTTGAGATGAGGAAAATATTAAAAAAATAAATAAATATTTACTACGGTGTACTTACTTTGATGCTCATTAACAAAGGGATGTGGAATGGCTCCAGCTCTGATAACCTTGCTGTAACAATGTCAACAAAACAGTACAGCAAGGCGTCCACAGTTATGAATATGACCCAAGCTATGAAATGGGAGACAACTGGAATTCCAAATTTCACCATAGCTTTCCCTTCTCTTGTTGTGGGACGGGCGGAGGGAATGAAGGTGTACAGCTGCTCCTCCTCTGCCGTGAGGGGAAGGACATGGGATTTTCCTTCCGCCTTCTGCTTCTCGTCAAAATGAACAAACTTGCTGCTGATGAACCTGTTTTTGTATTTCATGTCTCTGCAGTATTTTTTTATGTGCAATGCTATAAACATCATGAGCACGAGGAAGCTGATGGCAGGAAACATCCTGTCGGTCACTGAGCTCACTGTATTCATCAGGGCCTGTGCATATTTAACAGTCTCGTTGAGCTTCTGCTCTGCTCCTGCGAGCCTCTGCCTGAATTCTTCTGATTCCAATCTTGGAGAGACGTTGAGCTGGGAGTCAAATCTCACTACTCCCAGGTTTGTAACCCCTTTGAGCATGTCTCCGATCCACTTCAACATCTGAACATAGTTAGTAAATGGAGCAATGATGGAGGCTTTTTTTGCCTTCAGGTTGCAAATCATACTCCTGACCAGCAGCGAGAGGTTCTCCAGAGTGTTACGGATGTTCTTAAGAACCACTAAGCTGGTTCCAGCAGTTAACAGCAAGTTCCTACTCTTTTTCATGAAAATGGATATAACAAAAAGAGTCCCTAAACACCTTACTCTCTTTGATAGGAAGAGGGCAACAGTCAGCAGTGTCCCAAAGCAGGCGGCAATCCCCCCAGCCACTGCTAGCTCATAGTCCAGAGCGAAAAGGAGGTACAGGAGGAGCAGGGAGCTGAGCAGGAGGCTGGAGATGCTACAGATGAGGAGGAGAAGGATTATTCTTCTGAATCCATCCCTTTTGCCAGTGGTGAACACATCCACAGCTTGAAAACCCACATCCTTAAGGCTTTGTTTTACTGCAATCCATGAGAAAAGCATCCTGGATATTAAAGTAGACGTTGAAAAGGCAGGTTATAAGAAAATCATTAACAAATACAATATATTCAGTAACTACTGCTCCCAAAAAGACACTTGTGCTGAACAGAAAGGCGAAGTAGTAGCCTGATGTATAAAGCTCAGCAGCTCTTCTGATTCATGTAGAGCGCAGTCGCCTTAAATACGACAGAAACAGGAAGACTCTTGCCTTTGTCATTAGTCATTTTGTAGTCATCCCTATTTTTCAACCACAAGCAGAAGTAAACAGAGGCTGAATTATGACTGTGGGGTGTCTGCAACTGAAATATCCTCTTCACATAAAAATCTAATGCTTTACTAAGAATTTCAAGGCGGTATTGCACGAATGTGTGAGTGGCCTGAATACCAATAATTTTGTGTATTTAGGGTAACATATTCATATTGCAGAAACAATGATAAAATACCCTTTTACAGGAGTAGGTGATTTCAGAGAATCCTAATATTCAATAGAATTAGAAGGTCCGTGTGACTGTATTCATTTGACCCTATATGGTCATCATGTTTGTCACATGTCCAAAATGCCAGGCAACTTAACGTTAAGTGGTTAGTGGTCATGTGATCTGCAAAACCTCAATGTTGTAATGCTTAACATCAGAATTTCAGCACTGTCTTGGTCAGCACATTAAGTTCTGTGTACTTTATTCACACACTGAGGCTAGCATTGAATGTTTGCTTCAGAGAGAGGTGATAAAAAGAAAACATTTTCACTGATTTGTGAGCGTGACCTGAATACTTAGCGAGTGTATTTAGCTAATTACCTTTAGAACAGGCTTCGATTTTTCAGACAAAGAAAATAATACTTCAGAAAGTCTGTCTTGTGGTATTTTCCTTCATAGTAGACACAATAGATGCCTTTTTTTAGGTTTAATTGGAAAAAAAAACTTGCACAACCCTGTCAAGGAGAGACCTGTTGAATTGAAACATTAAGCGAAGTAAGTTTGCCGGTGTGTTTGTGGTGTGGACCCGAAAAGCAGACAAGGGAGAGACTGAAATGAAGTTTAATCAAAAAGCGAGCCGTTGATTTGGCTGAAAAAGCATGAACACAAAAACAAAGCAAGGCGAACAGGTGCGAGAAGTAAAACTAAAACCTATAAAAACTATGACAAGAGAAACATGAACATAAATCTGAGCAGGTGCAAGAAAACCAGAAACATGGACCTGAACAGGATCATGAGAAAGCTGACGTGACGTGGAGGGAGGAAAACAGATGCATCGACAATGAATTAGTGAGAAAGAGGACTTACATACACAGGAGGGTAATGGAGAAAACAGCTGACACAAATGAACCTGAACGCCACAGGGGAAGTACAACTAAACACACTTAACATGGAACACCAGACTCTTTGCAATAAAACAGGAAAGAGAAAAGGGACGTAGACAAGACAACACCAGCTTGACAAGTAGAACATGCAACACGAAGACATGAAATACATGGGGAGACAGGGGGCACACAAAAGACACAAGCAAGGAGACACAGAAGAAACATAACTAGATCAAAACGCAAGTAAACCTTAACTAAAATAATAACACAAGAACTCTACATGATTTCAATATAACAATCAAAAGTACTAAACAAACTCACAGACCCTGCCCCCTGACACAGAAACACTGGTTTTATTTACATCTAAACGGATTCCCTGTATCTGCACACTGACTGGGACTCATTCATTGCAACATGAGACTCTGTCACAGTCACATAAAATCAAATGTATGTACTTGCCACAGCAAATGGTCTAGTTATTACATGAAATAAGCATCCATAATCACATATTTGAGAGGAAAAAAGCCTGTTAACTCAATATGAGTAAATAATCACTGTTTACATGTATAGTGCACTTTAAACGTATTCATATGAATTTATTTGTGTTTTGATGGGAAAGCAAAAATTCTCTCTAAAACATCCCATAAACTCCAAAAACAAACAAATTCAAATAAAAACATCTTCACTGTGCAGAATGTTTGTCTGTTAAATGAAAGAGCTGCAGTCTGCCTGCTGAGAGTTACTATTTGTCACAACGGAACAGAAATACCCATATAGAGCAGAGGCTTCAGTCATTTCACTGCCCTTCCTTCGTGAGTGCACAACAAAAATCAGAGCTCGTTGTTTAAGTGTCTAAATATCGCATTTTGAAAGTTTTTTGGGGAAGAAACATCGTGAATACACTGACAAGCTTCAGGAAAACTGTTGCTGTATTTATTGGATCCAGCCAAGTGGTGTAGCATCTTTTTACAAGAATGCAGCGCCAAAACCTGTCGCCAGTGTCTGAGAAAGATCAGCTGGGTTTAAACCCTGTCAAGCTCCCACTAAAGAGAAAGCGAATCCAGCATGATGCTGCACAAAATTGCAGCAGAAGTGCTGACAGCTCCTCCCCAGCAAGGGGAAAACGCAGAATCTGTGGAGAGAAATTTGTACTGAAAAGAAATTTCAACCAACTGCAGAAGCATCACTGAGGCCTGCTTTTCAGAAAGAAAAGGGATGAAGAAAGACACAGACAAGAATGAATCAGCTGTGACACCACCAAGCATCCAAAAAAGTGCCGCTATCACGATGATTCGACTCAAAGGCAAGAAATTGAATGATACGGCCTCGAGTTTCCAGAATGATGCCAGATCCTCTGAAAGCAAAGGGATGGAGAAAAAGAGGCCAGAAGACCAGAAAGTTAGAAACATTTGGATCGTTGGCTCAAGCTACGTCAAAAGAGGAGAGTTCGGAGCAAGACAGAAGTTTGGAGAGAATTTGGGACTTAATGCCAAAGTCCAATGGTTTGGCAAAGGAGGGATGGGCTGGAGCGGCGTCCTTCCACGTTTTTATGAAGAGTTATCTACACGGAGCCCGCCTGACATATTGATTATCCACGCTGGTGGCAACGATTTAGGACTCATGTCTGCCCAGCAACTTTCTGGTATAATGAAGATGGAATTGATGCAACTGCACAAAGAGTTCCCCTCAATGACGATTGCTTATTCCTGCATCAATCAGCGCCAAGTGTGGAGGTATGGAAGTCCATGGAAGATAAATAAGGACAGGGAGATTGTCAACCATACCATGAGAAAGGCTGCCCACTGCTTTGGAGGGGTGATTATTGAACATCCCTGTTTGAAATTTTTCGACAACACAATCTTTGTACCAGACGGAGTCCATTTCACAAAGAAAGGAAATGAACTGTTTGTGACCAGCATCCGCTCCACCACCAAGAACATTCTGCAGTCAACGCAGAGAAAACAGATTTGAGGCATCAACCTCTATAATCTGACTACACATATGAACGAGAATACTGAATAAATGCAAAGTCAAAAGAGCAGTGTGTAAAGACTCCTGTGCTTACAGATTCTGAATAGAGATTAGGAAATGTTTGTGACAAAGACACATACACAGACAGTCTCTCTCTCTCACATTTACACTCACACTACAAGAAGATTGTGGATTCACGTGTCTGTGTATTTTCAAATTTTTTATTCCATGTGCTGTATGTTTATTTTTTAATTTTTTTAATGCAATAACTGAAATAACACAGATAGAAATGAATAAATGAACAGATAAAAGATTCACATGAATAAGAGGAGGCTACAGAGATTTTTTTATAACTGTTTTTGGAAAAGCAAAGTGTGTTTGGCTATTCTGACTGCAAAAGCTGCCAGAGAGGACAGGATTTAAAGCAAAACTAAAAAAAAAAACACCTTTAAATCTAGGGTGTCAAACATAGGGCCCAGGGGCCAAAATCGGCCTGGCAAAGACTCCAATCAGTCCCACTTGATGGCTGGATGGATAATGTTTTTCTACTCTACTTAAGCACTCAAATCACTTTATACAATACATTCACCATTTAACAAACATATTTGGGCAAACTCCTCTTCTACATCTAAGTGCCCTCTGTCTAACATTCACACACACATTGATGAACACACTGGGAGCAATTTGGGTTTAGTATCTTGCCCGAGGATCTTCAGACTGGAGCAGCCAGGGATTGAACCCCCAGCCTTCCAATCAGTCACTGATTTGTATGAATTACTCCGGGTTGTTGTAGAGGAGGTGAGCCACAACCACCGTCAGGCAACAAATCACAAAGAACTGTGTTTTTGTGTTTCTTTGTCTGTGCTCATGCATGGTTTATGTGCAATAGCATGCATGTGTGATTGCATGGGTTTCTATGTGTCTAAATGTTTCTCATTACACTGTGTGGAACTTTAGAAATGAAAGGTGGATATCACATTTCTGTCATTTGTACCTTACATGTCTTCTCCAAGCTCTTCATTCAGGTGTTTTGGAATGGGGAAACACCTACAAACCTAAAACAAGCCATCCTAAGGACCGAAATTTAGAACCATTCCTTTACCATTATTGCATGAAGAAAAGTGACCTAACTGGCAACATTGTGCAGTTAGGTCAATAAATGAAATCAGAATCTGTATATAAACAACTAAAAAGAGCAACTTATTCACATTGATGTAAAAGATGATGTAGTGTGTGTGAGTGTGCGTTAATTTGATCATCACTCAACTCTTGACATCAGTGTAATATCATTTTTTTTATTTTTAATTTGAAAAATAACTTACATAAATCTCTGTACTCAACCATACTTAACCAAGACATAGCCTTGGCATTAACACATTGCACCAAAAAGAGAAAATGAAAAGGCATTCAAAAGGATAAATAACATGTCTTTGTCATCATGAGGCATTTTTCCTCTTCCAAAAGAATCTATCAGTCTACTTGTGGTAGCTTGTTTACTCAAATTCTGACATCTAAAGGTATGTACAATGAAAATGAAAATATATACTGTAGCTTGTTAAAGCGACAAGGTTTTTCTCTGACATTAAAATGCATTATCTTCACGTGGAAAAGGAACAATGCCTCAATTCAGTTTCATTCAGACATACTGCAACTATAAGATTCATGTACTTCCCAGACACGAGAAGTATTGTTAATTACTAAAAATAGAAAATAAAAAATAAACTGGTCTTGGCTTTTAAATAAAACTAACAAAAATATAGTAAAGTAATTTCATTTTCATTAAAACAAGAAAAAAAAATTCTGTGGCAATATCCCTTATTATTTCAACTTGTGATTAGCTCATCTTCACAAACAGTGATGTAAAATTGAACCATGGCAACACGCATGTCGCGCATGTTTGCCGTCTCTTGATTCGGTATAGACCTCTTTGCTGTACCAGTACAGATTATTTTTGCATGTTCGTCAACAATACTGAAATAAAATACACTTGCAATCACAACTGTTTCGCCAGCATCCATTAAATATAAAATATTTTCCTTGTCATATTTTTTCTTCTTCTTTTTTTTCCTCAAAAACCTGAAAGAAAATGTGACTTTCGGGTGGGGTGGAATGTTCTGTTAAAACTTCAATAAATGGCCCAGGAAGACCAAGAACTAATTTGCCATAGAGCTCAATTTAAGGTGAGGGAGAAAAGTAATGAAGTTGACATGCACTGTACAAGAAATTGCAAAAATTCCAAATATCATCTTTATCAAAACATGCTGAGTTACTGTAAGGTGTGCCCAAGCCATGTTGCAAAAGACCCTTTTCAACATGCTTGTTAAACAAATCCAAATCCAAAAGAAGGAAGAAAACAAACATAGTGAAACGATACAGTACTGTAAAGTAACCAACAGTCCTAAAATCTGGACGATGTCAGGGGACTGAACAATGGTAGCAATGAATAGTACGATGAGAAGTACCCTGGGAAAGGAAGAAAAAGAGAAACATGTACAATTTGCACATTATGTTTATCTTTATAAGGCATTAGCCTTTTACAATGAAATAGATCATTTACATTTATTTTCATTATCACTTTTTGTCACATAAACATTTTCTGTTAAATAATTCTTAAGTTCCCCTTTTCTGCATGTCTGCAAAATGCAGATTCATGAATGGTGTAAAGAATGATAAACAATGTCCTTTTTTTTTCAGTCACGATGTTGCATTCACTCCCCTTGAAAACCATGCACTAGTGAAAATTTTCTTTAAAAATAATATAAATTGTTGAAAATGGCTGATTCTGTTTATTTTTCATCTTTTTTTTTTGCAAGTTACAGCCTCAAGAAAATAATTTTCTTCTTTCTTTTTTTATTCAGCTAAATTTGTGTCCATGCAAAGAAACTAAAAAAAGGGAAAAGAAAAATCTCATTTAATTTTCATACAATATATCAACAGAGAAAGAAATATGGTAAGATTGTACATCTTTTCATGGAGTTTGGATTGTTACTGTATTTATTTATTTTTTGGGGGAAGGGGGTGTTGAGGGCAGCCACTTTAAAGTGGCATTTGATTAATCTTTTACGGTGCTTTACCAGTATGGGTTGAACGGGTAGATATATGTAGAGTATGCAGGGTTTTTTTCTTTTTGGGGTCTGTGGGAGTGTGGTTACAAGCTGGGACACACCTCACCCAAAGTGATGGTCTCGAAAATTCCATCTACACGGCTAGGTCTGTTGGCGTGGCGTGACCAAGCATCTGGTTAGAAACACTGTCACCCCCTTCAGAGACAAGTACACTGACATTTAAAGAAAAAAGTAAATAAAAGAAATGAAAACGACACAGGAAAAAAATAAAATCAAGCAACACACAGATTTTTCATTCGAAAAGGGCTTCTGTAGAACTCATTCAGAGGTTCCCAGTGTTGACCCCCATGGCTTCGAATTGGATGAAAACCTGGAATTGACGGATTCCTCGTGCTAAGGAGTTCATTCCGGCTTCCTCCAAACAACAACAACAACACCTGGCAATCCCTGCTACCAGGCGCTCGCGATACGCTTCGCCACATGCACAGTGTGCGTGACGTTTTTGCTCAAAACACAGGATCACGTTTGCACCCCTAGAAACAGGCTCAGAAGACACAACATCAAGCATGCAGTGTAACCGGGGGGGCGTGACCTGTAATCGCAACACTGGCTGCTACAACAACGCTATCAGTCCACACGCTGCTATGATCGAGAGAAACTGTCCAGTGAGGATTGGGAAGCTCTTCTTGTCAGTGGGGCCAGAGTAGGGTCCACCAGTGAGGAAGGAGGAAAGAGCTTGTACCAGCCAATCACCATGTTGGACAGGTCCAGCTCATCTAACAGTATCTGAACTGCTCCCATGAATGATTTATGGTCCATACGTCCATAGTCACCCCATACGATGACCTGCAAACAAGAACGAAAAAAACTTTAACCCCTTAGCAGTCCTATTAGTCCCCTAAACCATCCAATGTCCCGTGGGCGGTACGTCCGACTGCTAACAGTTTAAAGGATGGAGCAAGTTTAGAAAGATAAATGAAGTCAACAGTCTTGGTCAAAATTCAATTCAGTTTTATTTATTTAGCGCCAAATCACAACAACAATTGCCTCAAGGTGCTTTATATTGTAAGGTAAAGACCATACAATAATACAGAGAAAACCCCAACAATCAGATGAACCCCAATACAACTTATATAGCTTTTTATATGAAAAAGCCAATCTGATGTGCAGAACCGTATCAGCTGTGTGTCCTTGCATTGAGGCCAGCAGACTGCAAGGAGAAATGCTAATTGTGACACTCTGTTGCAGTCTAAAGGAATAACATTCTTACCTGTAAAACCTTCCCTCCTGGACTCTCCTCAAACGGCAGTTGCTGCTGATAAAGAGGATCCAAGGTTTTTCTTGCTACTTTAGTTTTCTTTTTGGCTATGCAGACTCCGTTTTCCAAAAGGTAGACCTTTACATACGGTGCTGGAAATCAAGAAAGCGTAAAGGAGAGATGAGCTTTTGAAAGGTTTCCTTTTCTCTTTCCGCAACCAAGTCATGCTTACCTTTATTAACTCTGTGAATACCTGACATAGACTAGCACATTTAGTAGCTTTGATTACCTGGCAGTGCCTTGGAACCTGGTTTTCCCACAAGGCCACGGGCTCTGATGACCTCCACCTCCAGTGCACCTTTCTTCTCCACCATGCCAATCTGGATGTCTCCTAAACAACCAACAAAACCGAAGATTTTAACTTGTCTGAAGTGAAGCTTTCATCATTTCAAGCTACAAATCTCTGTAAAAAAAAAAAAAAAAGGAAAAAAAAGGATAACTGTCCTCACCCATAGGGGGAGTAGCCAATGTCTGTCGCCCAACCAGCTGAGCAGGGCCAAGACCATCCAGGAAGTCACTGAACTGGGCATCTGAGGACAGCCTCACACCAGGGAAGATGAGACTGAAACATTAACAAAGAAAAAAAAATAAAAACACCAGGTGTTTATAGTTAGACTAGAACCTGATATAAGTTACCAAATGAAATTCTGAATTTTTCGTGTATATAAAAGCTGCTGAATTAGCTTTCTGATCGTCCGCAGAGCACAAGTGCATGTCTCCTTACTTTCCCTCGGAGCTGTAGCTGTTCATGCTTCCGTCTGTGGACTCCCTGCTGGCCTGCCGAGTCATCCTGCTTCTCATCTCCACCGCCAGGCCTGTCTCTGTGCTCCTCTGGATAGTGCTGCGCAACTTTTTACCTCCCGCTTCTGAACACAGAGTTACACGCACGACACAAATGACAGAGAAAGAGAGAGAAGAATTGTCAGTCCACAACACTGAACTGGGGGGATGCGAGTCGCACGGCGAGAACCATTTGCGCGGATTATCACTGGTGTACGAACGCTTTAATCGGCTCGTACATATATCTTTCCTCAGGAGAAAACGAATTTCCTTCGGGATTAATAAAGTATTCTGATTCTGATTCTGAAAACAAAGCGCACCTCAGTGAATTCAAATTCTATACCAGAGCACTGCCGTCTCTTTAAAAAGATCGATATTAGGAACACTATGTGCAGCCTTCCTCCAGTCTGCGCCACCGACTGCCTATGGGGGACTTCTGGGAGCAAATTCACCTACAAACATCCACTGTCTATGCATCCCCACCCCTCCAACCCAAACCCACCATCCTGACTGATCCAAGAAGAAAGCTGATTCTCTCCATTAAGCCTCCCACTGCGCATCGCCACCTGACCGCGTGCGTGTGGCACAATGTGGACACGCCTGCGGCTTACAAACACACAACTCCTCAAAAGTATAGTATGTATGCTCTACCATATATACACACACACACACACACGCACACTTTTCATATCCCATTTAAAAAAAGGTTGGCAAAAAGTTGTCTTTTACTTTCAGTAAGCCTAATGTGCTGAGAAGCTCCTCAAGAGATTCAAATGAAGTGAAACATTATAGGTTAGTTCTAAAAACCTCCGTATGAGCTTTCTACATACACATGCAGCTGTGTTAAACTGAAAACATGTCCCTTTCTAAACATTTAATTGTGCACTGCTACGGGGTGATCCAACCATCACTAAATGTTTTCATGCCTTTTGCAGGTATGGGATTAATTTTTTTCTTCTTCTTCTTCTGTGTAATCAAATTTAGCACTATTTGGTCAGAAAGTCCCTGCAAAGCCTGATGAAGGTAATAACACAGAGGTACTATACACAAAGCTTCAGCTCATTACTACAGGGTGCAAAAACCGGCCGTTCACAGACCTTATGTAATTTCTCTCTAATATTTTGCAAGTTTGTGCAGATGAGTAATTTCTATGCTTCAGCAGTCCTAATCCAGTTATAGGCCTTGCAGTCTTTACTCTCCTTCCTCTCTCCTTTGTTTGGCTTAGTAGAGGAGGAACTGAAGATAAAAAAAAAGGATCATTTTGTGCCTCACACAGACATAAAACAGGCATGATGCTCTTCAGCCTTGAAATCTCAGTTATTCAGCTGGCCTCCGCCTCCTCTTCCTGCTCTTCACATTTTTTACAATAAGAGAAGCAGCCACAAAGGTCGTCTCTGACGTCTGCAGCAGACCTCCGCTGTCATTCAGTGGCCAGCCAGACGTTATCAACGAACTTGAAAAACACATGATTTATTAATGGTAATTTATGCAGCTTTTGCACTATATCAAGCACTATGTGATCTTATTTGAGTGCTTCAAATACTGTTCCAATGCATTTCAAATAAACGCTGTATGTATCCGCTCTATAGACAAAAATATACAGAGGTGCATTAAAAGCAGTGGCAGATAAGATAAAGATTAGACTGTTATAAGTGTATGTCGGAGAGTAAGCTACTTTTATAAACTATCCAGCAACCGCGAAGCAGGAGAGGCGTCAAAACGAGACAAACTGGCTCATCTCCATAAGTTTGCTGCCCTCAAATTGCGACCCTGCCAGTCAGGAAAAGACAGCGAGTCTAGGGAAGCTGCCAATGGTGGAAGTGTGAGTTTAAGTGAGTGTGAAATTGTAGCTAAAAAAAAAAAGGAGGAGTGGTGAGTAGTGTGGCAAAAAATATGTTGCCAGATAAAGCTACAGAAGAATAGATCACGCGCACTGCAAATCTTCTTTTGTAAACACAACTGCAAATAGAACAAGAAGTGATTGTGAGGCTGAGCTATAAATACACACAGTAGGCGTTACGCTACCTTTTAGGAAATTTGAAGTGACAGTCAGAACAACGTTGTGGTTCTAAGCAAAAAGAAAAAGAAGCACTACTTCCAACTAAATACTAAAGAGGGATTCATTCCAAATACAGAGTCCTTTGTTTTCATCCACAGAATCAGAGTCACAGTCATGCAAATTAGGTTTTTAGACCAGCGTGAGTGGCATTTGTAAGCAAACAGACCGGTTCCATTTTGACAACACCACCATTGGTGGCAGCAGCAACAACAGATGCAGAAAGAAGTGTGACTGGCCCACAACTAACTGATGATAAACTGACCACCCACAGATGAAATTGCACATTAAGCTTTATGTCATCATATAACCAGATCATGCACAGTATGGACAGCTCAAGCCTTATACACATTACACTTACTGAAATAGACTAATTGAGCTAAACATCCTAATTGAGCTAATAACATTTCTGAACTTTCCAACGTCCCAGTTCTCTCCCATGCCAGTACCTCTGCAGCTTCCCTCTAATCCTAAATCTATCTCCCCTTGCTCACCGCCATCTTTTAGTTTAAGCCGCACTGTTTACCCCCCAGCAGGAAGCTTTGGCTGTGACATTTCCGCGCCTGTCATCTTACCTCCGTCCTCCTCATCAAAGGAGTTCATGCAGGGGAAATAGACAGCCAACGCTTCGAATGATGCTGACAGGCTCATCTTGCTCTGGGAACACTGGATACGCATCCCAGGAGCCGGAGGAGAGGTATCGTTCCCCTGCCTACCCATGGTGACCGGTGGCTGTCCTCCTCAATGCGGTGAATTCGATGCTCAAGGCGTCAGCTTTGCCCTTTCTGGCTGATAAAAGCTTTAAAATGTATCTCCAATCTATACTATTCGATGGATTCCTAAGGCTAGCAGTAGAAGATGCTCTGCTGTAACAGGAGAGGGATCTGGCATCTAGTCTATCCCTAGATGCTCTGCTGACTGCATCCTAGGTAGAGCTTTGGAAAAACGCTGCTTCAGTAGTCAAGTCTTGTGCTGTCTGGGTCTGACGTTCCTGCTGCACCTCTTTCTTCAGGGGGGGAGGGGAGAGCGCTGCATTGCGCTCCGCCAATCAGAGGGCCGGGCTGCTCAGACGCACCTCGGCAGGCTCTGCGGGTGAACAAGCTCTACCCAGAGATACTGATCCCCCCCTCCTCCCTAACCCACTCTGTTTCTCAGCAGTATTTTTTTTCATACCCTTACTTTTGTCATTTGCTTTTTCATTTTTCTCTCTGCGCTTGTTCTTTTGTTCCCTTTGTTCCGTTCATCACTACTATTTTCCTTTTTTCCCATCCTCTACCTCCCACCCCTCCCTCTCCCCCCGTTTTGTGCACACAGGCCAGTGAAAATAAGCTGCCATTAGGCCTGCCAACAGTCCTGCTACTTGATGAGAACGCACAAGCCACATGGCGATCACTCAAAGTTCACGTGCCAAACTCTGCTCCTTCACTTTACTCTTTTCCACGGTCGTGATTTCACAGCTGTGTTGCGTTAGGAGGAGTTCTGTTTCTCACAGACAAGAAAGTCAACGAAAGGGAAAAACAACGTTAAAAGCTCGACCTGAAACCCCTCTCGTCTGTCGTCCCTTTGTGGCACAGCCACGTTACAAGAAAGTATGGCTCTCGTCATCCATCACAAACTTTTAAACAGCCACAAAGACTCTTTGTTTGAATTAGAGCCTCACATTTCTAAATATTAACTTTTCTTTTTCTTCATTCCATTTCTGCCATTTGTGGACAGCTGGGGTCAGCTTATTTTAAACAGTCGAGAGCCAAGAGACTCAACAGCGTTGCTCGCTGAAAGGACTTCTTCACCGGTGGTCCTTCAAGTGGCTCATGAATGTACCACCGGCATCGGCTGTGAGTGATACCTCAAAGCAAATGCACGACTTTCAGCCGAACTCCAGCTTCTCTGGTAGCTGTCACCACCGCATTAGGTTCAAGCATAAATCCTGAGAAACTGTGCTGCCCCGACATGCTGCCAGCAGTCCTGCTTTTTTGTTCTCAATATGAATGTGGCAGAATAGGCGCAGGACAAGACAATTATGGCACTTTCTTTGCACCACGGTAAATATAGGAAGCTCCCTGTGGTGTTACTGCAGAGGCAAAAGTTCCTCTCTCTGAGACACTGCAACCTACTTCCACGAAGGAGCCACTTAATGTCCATTTGCGGGTTTCATCTAGGTCACCACTGACAAAACAACTCTTCACGTTTACCGCCACAGGGGGAATCGGAGAAGAGCGCACAGTTATAATACAAACACTTGATTTAATATGAACCACAAACTCATTTAAGGATCAGGTAGGCGCTTCTCTGAATTCAAACTGTGAGAATGTTTAAACTATTATCAGAAAACTTCTGATCTTTGCCCTCATGATGATGATGTAGCTCTGTGTTTCTGATCGTTGATCCAGGCTCAGAGGTTATCTTCTCCGTGTGATGAATTCAACTTTCTTTGGTGGTTATTTTGCTGCTTTTGTAGCACTAAGAGAAGGCTGACATTTTTTTATTAAAGTGATTTTAAAGCTATGAATTGGATGATGCTGAATGATTTTGGTCATCTCCTGCTAAGTTCTAGATCAGGGGGTGTCAAACATAAGGACCAGGGGCCTTAATCAGCCCAGCAGAGACTCTAAGCCAGCCCACTCAATGGCTTTAGAAAATATGGTGGACGAAAGTTTTGGACTTTTTCCTTCTGATATAGACATGCCACACCAAAGTAATTCAATTACTGAATTACTTTCCTGTTTTTTCACAATCTGCTATAGAAAAATCTTATTTTCTACCTATTCCTTACACTTTTAGCCCAAAGAGTCATGCTGACAGATTTCTTTCATTTACTACAACACCATTAAACGTATAACACAAAGGGGAATTTTACTGGTCAGGTTGACTTAAATTCAAACTTGGCTTTATGTGGCTCACTATGTAAAATGAGTTTGATATCCCTGCTTTAGATAAACTCAAAGCCAGCAGGTCAAAAACCTAATTAGTCTAATGACTGAGTTTATGAACAGATATGAGTTCAAGTTGTTAAGTGGAGATATTGCTGGC